TGGGCCTCTGACTGAATCCAAACTTCACAGAACAAATCACTTAATAAAAGGATTTGTCCTATAAAACTTGGACTGGTAGAATTTTAGCCAAGAAAAGAAGGAAACAAATAGGAAAAAATTTTCTGGGGATAGAAAGGTCAAGTGCAAGTTTTAGGGAGAAACTGAAAATGAAAGAGATAGAATGATCAATGGAGCAGCTAGGTAGTACAGTGGATAGAATATTGGACCTGGAGCCAGAAAGTCCTGAGTTCAAATCTAGCCTTAGACATTTACTAGCTGCATGACTCCGGGCAAACCACCTAACTTGTTTGCCTCAGTTTCAGCTGTCAAATGGGGATAATAATAGCATCTCCCTCTCAGGTTTGTTGTGAGGATGAAGTCACATAAAATTTGTAAACTTTAAAGCATTATATAAATGCTAGCTATAAGCTACTATTATGAATGAAGCAAAATCCTTAAGGAGATGAACTCCTCCCACCCCCAAATCCAACTCCTTATGGTGAATTGCAAGCTCAACATGAGTCAACAGTGTGATGTGACAGTCCAGAATGCTAAGGTACTTTTAAGATGCATTAATGGGAACATTTAATCCAGAACAAGGAAGGAAATATCTCTGTTATTATATTCTGGCTTGGTCAGGCCATATCTGAAGTATTATGTTCTGTTCTTGGCTGTACATTTTAGTTAAAATGTTGACTAGCTGATGTCTAGATGAAGGCAGTTAGAATGATATTAGAACTTGAAGTCATGCCATACAAGAATTGGTTAAGAGAACTTGAGTTGCTTAGTTGGAAAAAAGAAAACCTAAGACTTGTTTTACTTGGTTCTAGAAGGCAGAACTAGAAGAAATGAAGGGAAATGGCAGAGAAACATAATTCAACTTGATATAAGAAATAACTTTCTACTAATTAAAGGTATGACAAATGAAATGGACTATTGGAGATCTTCAAGCTAAGGTTAGACGGAAAGAATTCCATGCAATAATTTGAATAACTAAAAGGTACCACACAATGGTAAGCTACCATTACCACCATCTTCAGGGCTACTATTTATATGAGTGCTTTTTATATTGTATTCTGAAATTTGTATATTTGGGAAGTACTGAAAATTCCTTGACATGTCCTGAAATTCCTTTCAGCTTCAAGATCTTATGATTCTATTTGGTTTGCATAATTGTAAGTTAGTAGGGGGTTGGAAAGTAGGAATGGTATTTACCTATTCAGGTTGTTATAGGCACAATGCAACCTGAGTACAGAGGGAAGGATTGTTGATTCAGTCAATGTCGATTCACTATCAACATTTAGTCAATGTTGATATTTCAGTGCCAAGACTCAAAATAAATATTCAATAGAACCCAATATCTGTAAAAAAAAAACCAATTTAAATAAAATGTTGTGTCCTGCAGTAATTACCAAGCTAATAAAAGCTAGGTGGCACAGTATATAAAGCACTAGGCCTGAAGTCAGAAAGTCCTGAATTCAAACACTTACTATCTGTGTGTCCCAAGGCAAATCATTTAACCTCCCTGGGCCTCTGTTTCTTCACCTGTAAAATAAAGATAAAAATATCACCTACCTCCCAGGGTTGCTTTGAGAGTAAAGTGAGATAATATATGTAAATCATTTACATAAATGGTAGTAATGATGATGTTGATGATGATGATGATGATAGCCTAACATTGTGGGATACTTTTCAGTTGTTTAAGTTATTTTATGGAATTTTCTCCATGAAATCTTATGATATCCTCACAAAATACTCTGTGAAGTAGGCAAGATAGATGTTTTCATTTCCACTTTACAAATGAAGAAACTGAGGCTCCTTAGGTTTAAGGTCACATAGCAAGTAAGTTAAAACCTTGGTCTTCTGGCTCCCAGCAGAAAGTGCTTACACTCTATATGCTCTCTTTGATTAATATGACTTTAGTGAGCAATTCTTTTTTGTCTTTGTATATCCGTATATCCTAGGCTTAGCACAGTGCTTAATGAATGATCATTGAATAAATGAATCAGTCAATGGACTGGATCAAGGGCACAAATGGAGGAGATAGTTAACTTTGTGAGGACTATGATGCGGAATAATTAAGACATTAATAAAAGGTTTGTGACGCTGGTTGTAGGGTCAGTTGCAGTTAGCATGAATTTGTGGTGGATTTAATCAACACTATTTCATGATTTCCTCTAGCAACACTGGGTGGTGTGGAGATAGGGGTGGAGGATGACCCAGGGTTGAGGGAGGATGACCCGGTAGATTGTAAACATCAGGAAAAAGCAGGGCTAAAGGATTCAAGAGTGGACAGTGCCTCGTCGAAATGACTACAGCATCTAGAGCAGGTTCCCCACCCCTCACCTAGAGTCTAAAGACTATCAAGGGATGGAACTGAGTACAGATAGAAATAAGCAATTGTCTGGGAGCACGTGGATGCTTCACGGACTATCACAAAACTCTTGTAAGCACCTTTCTTTAGAGGAACTCAAGGTTCGAATTACTCTTTCTAAAGAACAGGCCTGAAGCCTGGAAAAGGGGACACAAGAACTTTTCCTTCTGTGCCTGAATGGCCAAGAATAAGGACACTAATAAAAGTGATGTCATGCCCGACGCCACAGTAGTTGCCATGGCGACTTGCGTAAGCTACGCTAGCAGTACGCCGAGCGGCAGGATTCATCCAGCCTTCCCACTGGATAGGGCTGGAGACTGGCAGTGCCCTGAAGCCTTCACAGCCTGCTGCACCTGACACCTCCCTCTTCCTCTCCCTCCCCCCGCACCTCCCCTCGGCAATCCAATCCCGGAAATCATTCACTGGGCGGGAACTAGGCCAGACTCCTCTCCTGAGCGTCTACAGCTCAGAGGGCCCAACCCGCTACAGGGTCTGCGTGCTCATTGGTCTCTGAAGCTGTCAGTCATCACAACGGCCTCGGGAAGAGGGGGCGGTAGAACCATAGAGATGGCGGAGGAGGCGGGATGGTCCGGGCGAAGCATCGTCGCGTAGTCTCTGGCCGCAGGCCCCTCTAGCGCGGGGAGGGCTGGGAGGGCTGTGGGCGGAGTGAGGCAGCCGTTCGGAAGGGCCGGGCGGAAGAGGTCGGGGCGGGGAAGGACATGGGCTTGCGCCTGTGAGGGGACTGGAGCGGCCCCGCCGAGGCTGGCCTTCGCCCGACCTCCCGCCCGCCTTCCTTCCCGAAGCTGGCGCCCAGTTCTCTTCGCCTTCGCCTGGCTCTTCTGACTCCGGCCCTGCAGCCAGCTGCGCTCGCTCTCCTCTGAGCCGTGAATTCAAACCTCCATTTTACCCGCCTCCCGACCCCCTCCCGACCCCCTCCACGCCTGTCGGTCCCTGCCTTCGTCCTTTCCCTCCTGGGCCCGCCCCCCAGCAAAACCCAGAGGCCACCCCACGCACAGAACCACGCCCACCCTCGCCCACCTGCCACTGCCTGGGGCTGTGGATATCCACTGCACCAGGGTCATGAGGCTTCCACAACCGGAGGTAATCCACCGAACATATGGATTAAACTGCAAGATGGATGAAGTGCCCCATCCTCTTACTCCTCCCCTCCCAATACCTACACATCTCCTAGTGGGGAACCGCAATAGCTAGCCCTGGGATGGGGAGCCTGCGGCCTCGAGCCCTAGGTGGCCCTCCAGGTCCTCTAGTGAGGCCCTTTGACCAAATCCAAACTTCACACAACAAATCCCAAACAAATTTGCTTTGTGAAGTTTAGATTGAGTCAAAGGGCTGCACCCGGGAACCTGGAGGGCCACATGCGACCTCGAGGCCGGAGGTTCCCCACCCCTGAGCTGGCCCAACTCCCTCCTCGTCCCTACCTCTGTCACATGCAGGGCACTACGTCCCACCACCTGTGCAGCTTAATTGACCCCAGAACCTTGGAAGTGACCTGACCGCCCCTCTCCCGCAACACACACACCTCTGTCAGTAGAGGGTTATCATCTGCCTGACCTCATGTCTCCTTGCTCACTCTGATCTTAGAGGAGCATTTGAATGAACCTCTGTGGAATGCTGCCAGTCGTGGGGTTGAAAGGATGCTAGCCAGAAGTGGCTCTTAAACAGGATACATTTCATTCTCTGGCTGCACTCCCAGCCCTGGCCTTGCTGGGAGTGTATACAGAGATATTCCAGTGTTGAAAAAAAAATCAGTAGTCCAAGGCAGTCTTAATTAAAACTGCTGTATTAATTAAAATGCAACAAACTCTGGCTTGGTTTCCCTTAACTGCCTAATCACCAGAGCGGAGACTAGGCTTTTTTATTCTGAGGTACTGGAAAGATCTACTGTGTAGATCTTCAATACTGCATAAATAAAAAGAATGCCACTTTTGATTCTCTATGATTAGAGAAGGATGATTTACAGAGCAAAAGGTTGAAATGACAAATTCAGCGCTTAGCACAATGCACACAGTAGGCATTTAATAATTATTAAATTTAATTGAAATCCAGGGAATTTTGCTCTATGTATATATTTATGGCCTATGTGCGCTGTTCAGCTACTTGGGAAATTTGGTAATTGAGCGAGCATGTTAATACAGGAGGCCCATTAACAAGGAATCAAAACGTTGTTGGTCACTTGATCATCATGATCATCTCAAGTAATGGAAGTTGACATTTATATAACCTTCTATTTAAGGTTTATCAATCCTATCAACTAATTTTGCAGATGAGAAAACAGCATTAGAGGTTAAGTGACTTTTCTAAGGCTACACAAATAGTAGCAGAACAGGAACTTGAACTTAGATTTCAGAATCTTAAACCTGGTGCTTTTCCAGCTGCACTAAAATTGCCTTCCCCAGGCTTTGTTAGTATCTCGAAACAGCCCTGTCAAGGCCAGAGGCAAGTGTATTTATGATAGGAACGTTAAAAAGAATATGCAAACAGTTTTAGCTTTGCAATAGTTGCTAATTTAAATATCAATTTGTAATTGCTGCCTTCTTAAATACTAAACCATATCCTACTCCTTTTGCCTAGGTCCCTTTGTTGACCAGTTGAAACCAATATAAATATGGCTTTTTATGGCCGTAATATACTCTTAGCTATTGCTAGAACAAGGTAAGACCTGGAAGTTGTTACTCCCTATTGACATACTTACTATTTTCTAGAGGAAATATTTCATTGAATTTGAGAGTGGGGTGTAAATTTAAGGATGAGATGAAGCATTTTGTCCAAAGTTAAATAGAAAGTTAGTGGCAAAGCTAGGACTAGACCTCAGTAGTTAGTGTTTTTTCCCCATTTCATAGGATTTTCCCAATATTTTCATGTTTTAGAAAATTGACACATATTTACTTGAACTCACTCAAATAAAGCTTTCTATTTCCTTTGAAATGAATGCTCAAAAATATCTAATTGAGAGAATTTGATTAGATGGTCAATAAACTCATTTCAAGCTTTAACCATTCTGTTATATATTATATGAAGACTTGTGTATTATAGGTGTGCTGTAGTTGTAAAGAATCTTAACAGTGATATAGTTGCAATTTATGGTTGCAAATATACAGCAAATGCTCCTTGATATTTTTAGGTATTGGGAATTGACCAATTACAACATTTCATATTTCTATGGCACTTTAAGGTTTACCAATCTCTTTCCTCATAACAATCCTTTATGGTAAGTATTATCCCTGTTTTGCAGATGAGGAAGTTGGGGATCAGTGAGGTTGTGACTTGCTCATAGTCATCCAACAAGTAAGTGTCAGAGCCAAGATTCAAACCCAGTCACTTACTCTAAATATAGAAATCTTTGCACTAAACTGCGCTACCTCTTAGTATTTTGTACTCATAAAAAGAATAGCAGCAAAGATGGGCTGTTAGCTATCCCATGAGAAGTTTCATTGCTAGTACTGGTTTCATTTTTATTTTTAAGCAGCTAGGTATACTAGTCTAACTTGAGAATGTGCCATCTGTGTTGGCTTACCCTGATTCATGTTCATAAAGCTCTCCAGGAACCTTAAAGTAAAGGGCATTCTGTAAGTGCTTATTACTTGAGGAAGTTCCTGGCATGATACTGAGTAATTAATGCTTCTGTGTGATTGGTTAATCACTAGAGAGAAACTAAGGTGTTTCATTAAAACAATGTTTATATTACCAGAGAAGTAGCTACCAACACTATAATTTTACCTGTTCTTTGACAGCGGGGTTATAAGATGGCAAAACTTTTTGAATGTGGTTCCTGTTGGAAAATGTATTACCATTAACACCAGTCATTTTCAGAGCTTTTAATTGCTGTGATAGCAATTTATTCCTAGAAATGCACTTATATATTAACATCTTTTTTTAAAGTTCTATTTTTCTACATTGTTGTCATTTCTTAATATTTACCTTAAAGAAACCTCCCTTATAACCAAGAAATATAGTTAAGCAAAATGAATACACTGACCATACCTGACCACATATGCCTCATTATGCATTTGTAGTCCATCACCTGTCTACTAAGAGGTTGGAGGTATATGTTATCATCATTTTTTTGCAGTCAAGATTGGTCATTGGGTTGATGATGAGTTCTTTTGTCCTTTAGTGTTGTTATCCTTGACATTCTTGTGATCATAGTATGTATTGTTATCTTGATTCTGCTTATTTTGTTCTGTGTCTCATACAAATCTTCCTGTTTCTCTGAATTTCTCATATATGTTGTTTCTTACAGCTCAGTAATATTCCATTCATATGCCGTAATTTGTTCATGTAGTCTTCAGTTGATCAGTACTCTATTTGTTTCTCATTTTTTACTACCATATAAAGTGTTGCCATAAATATTTTTATATATATGGTACCTTTCCCTTTGTCTTTGTCTTCCTTAGGGTATGTGCATAGTAGTAGTATGCTAGGTCAAAAGGTATAGACAATTTAGTCTTTTATCTGGTATAGTTCCAAATTGTTTTCCAGAATGGTTGGATCTATATTCATAGTTCATTAATAGTGTGTTTGTGTGTTTGTCTTCTTGTAGCTCTTCTGTCTTTTATAATCTTTGCCAATTTGATGGGCATAAGGTTAAAGCTTTAGAGTTATTTTAGTGTGCATTTTTCTTATTATTAGTGATTTGGAGCATGTTTTCACATGGTTGTTGATCATTTATATTTCTTTTGAAAACTGTTCATATCTCTTGATCACTTAAGACCTTTTATTTGGGAATGAATTTCAGTTTTATTCAGCATGGTGCAGAGGAAAGAGGATTTGAAGTCAGAGGAACTGGGTTTGAATCCCAGTACTGTCACTTACTATCTAGGTGACTTTGGGCAAGTCATATAATCTCTTTGGGCTCTAGTTTCCTCTTCTGTAAAGTGAGGGGATTAAACTAGATGACTTCTCTGGGTCCTTCCAGCTACAAATAAATGATCCTTATATATTTGTATAAATCCCCTGTAATATTTTGAAAGTCAGGCCTTTATCAGAAATATTTGATGTGAAGATTTTTTCACCCAATCAGCAGTTTCTCTTATTCAAATTAAATTTGATTTCTTATCAACATTTCTGATGGATTGTTTAATTTAGCATGAGAATATGCTGCCACAAATTAGAATAATAACCAGTTATTTTATGTTGTTTACTCTTAAATTATGGGGTTAAAAATCTTGATTTCATTTTAAGTGGATGTGTAAACTGTGCCTAAAGAATATACAAACTTAAAAAAAATTGTTAAATTTGTAAAAGTATATGCTTAACCCAGCAGTGTTCCTTTTTTTCTAGAGGTCCTCACCTTTTTGTCCACCCTAGCTACCCTCGATATTCCCCATCAGTTTCATTTCTTCAGCTGGCAGACTCCCATTTAAATCAAACCTATGTGAAGAACTATGGAAGCAAAAAATTCTTGTATCCTATTCAATCAAGCAGCAAACTACCTTATTTACGAACTAAGGCAATACGAAAACTACATACATCTACATGCTGGCTTCAAGATTTCCCAGATAAACCTAAACAAACCATGGAAAAATCAGTAACAGCAAGCCCCCAAACCCCAAAAGAAACAGGGATTGAGACTGAGGAGGTTAAGCAGTCTTTGAGACAAAAAATTGTGGATGAACTTAAACATTATTACAATGGATTTTACTTGCTTTGGATTGACACCAAAGTTGCTGCCAGGATGGTATGGAGACTATTACATGGACAGGTGCTGACCCGACGAGAGAGACGAAGGGTAGGCAAGAGGAAGGGTGAAGTTGAAACTATTTGAGAACTACATTTTGAGTACAACTAACTTGTTAAAATTTCAAAGGGATTTTTTTTTTACTAGTGAAAAGAAAGGACTAAGACTTGTGAGTTCTTTACTGACTTGCTGTATAGCTTTGGGCAAGTCACTTAACCTATGCTTCCAACTATTTAGCTGAAGAAAAGGTATCCATCTGCTTTCCAACCTTTCTAAGGTGTTGAGGGGCTTCAGATAAAAATTGTCCTTCTAAGTGCAAGCCTAGTAGTATCTCAAGTATATACATGTTTTCAGAACTAATGTTAAAACATACTGCATTATTAGAGTAGAGGTTTCTGTCTCAGATAAAACCACTGAGATCCCATTAACATGTTTTGATTAATATAGAAGTTTTCCCTGACAGTATATAATAAATATCCATACAGAGCCTTAGGGAAGGGAAATACCCTATCTGTTTTGGAAGCAGCGGCAGAAAATCTGTCTTGGGTTTTAGCACATTAGGAACCCAAAACAACTTTCTGATATGTCTTAAAAGAATGAACATTACATATGCTTTTAATTCTTTAGCTGCTGAGAACTTGTGCTGATCTCTTCCGCCTGGTTCCATTTATCATGTTCATAATTGTGCCCTTCATGGAATTCCTGTTACCAGTATTTCTGAAACTCTTTCCAGACATGTTGCCATCAACTTTTGAAAGTGAATCCAAAAAGGTGTGTATATCTATACTTTAACTTGTTTTTCCCCTAAAAAATAAAACAAAATAACATTCAACTTTTATTATGTCATTTAAAAGAATGAATAGGTTGAACTGTTGCCCGGTGAATCTTTCGTTGGGAACCCATCAAAAGAGAGAGCCTTTATTGTGTTTGTTGTAGACTTTTCTGGGAATGATTGCATGAAGGTTGAAAGTGAAGTGTCCTTGTAGATTTATTTGGGAACCTAGCTTGATACATATACCTGCTGACATTTTGGGGGATTGTCCCATAATAGAATCATAATTTGTTCTGAATAATGTAGCTTTCTAGTAATGTATCAGGGATATAGCAAAGTTGAAGGAACTGCTGTAGAAGTAATTGATATGAATGTTGCCCTCAGTTCATTTTCGTAGAAACAGACTTGCTTTTCTGTTATAAAATCAAGATAAAATCTTGCCTTTTAAAAGAATCATCCTGACTTGAAGAAGGGAAAATAACTATGCAACTGTACAAATCACCCACTTTAAGATATAGGCCTGTCAATTTTCTAATGACAATAAAATCCAAAGTCATATGTTTCAGATGATAAATACATAGAACTTTTTCATAGGAAGAGAGGATATGAAATGGGAGATGAGTCAGGAATTGTTAGTAGTTTTATATTTTTGACGCGCAATGCGCAGGATTAAACTGAAGGGCGCCCCTGATTCTGTCCTCCAGAAATCTTTGGTCTACCAAAAACTAACCTCTGGAATCATGAACCAAAACTAGAATGAACTACCTTATTCACTGAGTACCAACTCAAGTAATGTTAACATACTGAATTGAAGTTTAAAAAAAAAAAAACACCTAGTTAAAAGATCATTCAAACTGGAATAAATCCTTTATCTTTTTTTTTTTGCATTAGAGCATGGAAATATTTTATGATCTTAACCAATATTTATTGCAATTCATAGTCTTACTGTAGTTTAAGTGATGTGTTAAAGATGCCCATCCATTATCGATAAAGAATATTAAGCTTGTTGAGGGGAGATTTAACTTACTTTCCTTCATTTAATTTATTAATAGTATGCTTTTCCTAGTAGACAAAACCTTGGAGAGCAAAGTTATTGCATCTTTTGAACCTGAATAGAAGTATGCAGAGCCTATGGACCTCAACCTAGGTAGTAGCTGCCCAAAAATATGCTTAATAAATAATGACAATCTCTCCATATTGCCACCTTTTTCTTATACATCTTGTAAACTCTTAAACTTCCATTATATTTCCACTTATTTCCTGGCTGGTTTTCTGCCCTCATTTTTGTGCTTCTACTTTCCAGATAAAATCTCTGTTGACAGATATTGTTGTGAACTCCTTTGGACTTTCTCTTTTGAGGCCAGAAAACTGAACATGCTGCTGCTCCATAGGACACAAGAGTCTTTTGCACTAAGAAATGCCTCAGCAGCCACATTTGTTTCATATTCCTGGAAGAGTCATAGGATCATGGATCTAGGGTGGAAGGGACCTCTGAGGCCACTCACCTATCATATTTGTATAATACGTACTTAGAATATTATAGTTACTCTGAGTTAAGCCGTAAAGCTAACTAACCACTAAAAAGGAGCAAAACCATATGCATTCGGAGCTGAATATAGATATTAAGGAATGAATTGAGTAGTCATAGATTTCTTCCTTTATAGGATTCTCTTTTCTGTATTAAATGCTCATAGTCTTACTCTGTTCAATCAGCTTCAATATTTGGTTACAACATAGGAAGTAAAACATTAAAATCTGAGACTTATAAGGGATTAGTCTGACAGAAACCCTGGTTGGTTTTGTCAGGTTTAGAGGTATTAATGACTGCCTTGATGAGTTCTGTGCTAAACAGATTCATGGCATCTCAGAATTGGAAGAAACTACTGTCCAAACCCAACATATTTAGGTTTCCCTTCTATTGTATCTTCAACAAGTGGTTTTCCAGCTTCTACTTGAATATCTTCAGTAAGAAGGAGCTTATGGTCCTTTATGAGATAGTCTTCTGTACTTTCGAATAGCTCTTATTGTTTTTTTTCTTTCTTTCTTTCCCCCCCCTTTTTTTTTTGGCAGTTGGGGTGAAGTGACTTGCCCAGGGTCACATAGCTAGCGAGTGTTATGTGTCTGAGGCCGGATTTGAACTCAGGTCCTCTTGAGTCCAGGGCCGGTGCTCTATCCACTGCACCACCTAGCTGCTCTGAATAGCTCTTATTGTTAAAAGGTTTTTCATAAAACTAAACTAAAATCATTCTCTATAATTTCCATCTATTACAATTCATTCTAACCCATGGCATTAATTTAAGGGTGCCCTTTGGATTTAATAAGTATAGTGGTGGGCATCAACTACTTTTTTCTTAGTATTTTATTTTTTCCAATTACATGTAAAAATAGTTTTCAACATTCATTTTTTATAAGATTTTGAGTTCCAAATTTTTCTTCCTCCTTGTCTACCCTCCTCCCTCTCCAAGGTGGTAAGCAAGCTGCTATAGGTTATACCAGGGGTGGGGAACCTGTGGCCTGGAGGCCACATGTGGCCCTCTAGGTTCTCAAGTGCGGCCCTTTGACTGAGTCCAAACTTCACAGGACAAATCCCCTTAATAAAAAGATTTGTTCTGTAAAACTTGGACTCAGGCAAAGGACCGCACTTGAGGACCTAGGTGGCTACATGTGGCCTCAAGGCTGAAGGTTCCCCACCCCTGGGTTATACATATCAACTGTTACTTAATGAATAAAGATAGAAATAAAGTTGTAAGATTAAAGTGACAAATTTTAAAATGAAGTTTTACCTTTTGTCTTAACTGGTTCTCCCTAATAGCTTTTTAAATTAAACTTCTAAAAAACGAATATATTAAATTAGAGGTAGCAGTGACCAGTTAGAACTGATAATCCCTATTCTTCCAGCCTTGTTTGTTAAGACTCAAGGGAGAAAAGATTAATTTATTTTCTTTCTCTTTTCTACCATTAAGGAAGAAAAACAGAAAAAGAAAATGGCAGCAAAGTTGGAACTAGCAAAATTTCTCCAAGAAACTATTACAGAGATGGCAAGGAGGAACCGAACCAAGCTGGGAAAAGGCTCCAAATTAGGAGATGCCTCTACACAGTTTTCGTCCTATGTAAAACAGGTGTCCACCTTTTACACAAATAACTTCAGGTGGGAAGGGATATGAAAATGGCGGTGGATGCACAGATAATATGAATGTGATCAAGTGAAAGAAATATATGTATACATATTCATATGAACAAATGAAATTTATTGGTCATCATTTGGTATGCTAATGAATACATTCCAGAGTGCAGCAAAAATAAATAAGCCAGGTTAATAGATCTTTAATAAACCTGCCTCAGCATATGAAATAGTATATGTTTCCCCTTTATAACACAATACAGTCCATGGTATCTTTCACTCAGTAACAGAAATGTCAGTATTTGTGTAACTTATATGCCAGACAATATTCATAAAAGTTTTTAGATTTATGAATAGAACAGAAGTGAACTTGAGGTTTACTCATGATTCATCCACTAATCCCAGGCAAGTTTATTTACTTCTTTCTGCCTGTTGGTGGGGTGGTGGGGTTTAATTTGTAAAATGAGCATAATGCCATCAGATACTATCAGTAAGTGCTTGGAGATTCTCCTAGGAAATATGACATTAAAACAGAGGGTACTCTGGGGGAGGCTCAAATAAGTAGTAAGCACATTTTAATGCCTCTTTTTTTCCATTGGCTAGGTCCAGACAGGTCATATACCTAGCACAAAGGAGATTGTTCAGTTTTCCAAACTATTTGAGTATGACCTAACTCTGGAACATTTAGACCGACCTCAATTGGTTGCCCTGTGTAAACTTCTAGAACTTCAGACCCTTGGAACCAACAACCTGCTCCGCTTTCAGCTTCTGATGAAATTGAAGTCTATAAAAGCAGATGATGAAGTAAGAGCCTAACTGTAGTTTCAGGGAGTTAGCAAAGAATTTTCTTTATCTTGGGTTAGCTTAGTAATGAAGTATTTGCATCAAGCTCTCATTTAATGGCAGGTTTTCTGCCAAGGTGAATGAAGAACCTCCGCTACCTCCCCCAGGACTTCCATCATGGCACCAGTCACTGCTTTGACTCTCACTTAAAATCATTAGCTACTTGTTATTCCCTGAATTCTCTTTTTTTTTTCTTGTGAGGCAATTAGGATTAAGTGACTTGCCTAGGGTCCCACAGCTAGTGTCAAGTGTCTGAAGCCAGATTTGAACTTAGGTCCTCCTGACTCCAGCACCAGTGTTCCATCCACTGCGCCACCTAGCTGCCCCTCCCTGAACTCTCTCTTAAAGGGTTTGGCAAGCTGTCATTAATTCCATTGTCTTAGCTAAGACTAACTTAGAGCTGGTAGGGGCCTACTTGGAGAAATGGGAAGTGGGATCCTGATATCACACTAACAGGGAAAGTTCACCACCTCACTCTTCTCCTGCCATACTGCTATTAACCAAATATGTTTTTTGCTGGTGTATTTGGTACCACAGGAAGAGTGACTGAACACAATTTAGTTGTTTTAGGGGGATAAAAACCAAAACATTTGAATACATTGGGGAAGACACTGCCTTGGTTACAAGAACCAAGCAGGCTACTTAAAAAAGATGTAAGGAATGTTGATAATGATCTAAAAGAAAGGTGATCAGAAGGGGCAGGTTTCCTAGAAATACCAAGAATCTCCCTAGCACAGCTTCTCCTTAGTTTCCTTTAGTATCACTGCATGAGCACTGGGGATTTGTCAGAGCCATCATTTGTACTAAGGGAGTGGATGTCAAATCTTGTTTCAGGGTTAGTTCTGAAGTTTAGAGGCAAGATTATGGGGTAAATACTTTCTCCCAGACATTATAAAGATGAAACTAAACATCAAGAACAGCCCTGGAGAGCCAAAAAGGCCAAGGAGTGTCATCAGAAGGCACCATACTACCTCAAGTCCTGTCTGTGGAGAGGGGAATTTTTAACTTGGTGATGGATTCATTTGAATGCCTCAGTTCCTTTTAATATCCTGGGGAAAGGGAGGACACTCCTTTCCCCTTATCTTACCACCCCCCATCTGCTGATCACTACAGTTTTCTTGATGACTACAATAGCTCCCACAAACTACAAGCTTGGGAGCAGTAACCCTATTTGTTATGCCCTCTGGACAGTTCTGCTTAGGTGAGCTTGGAACCCAAGGACTTCTATTAACCCTTCTGTTCCTTTTAGGTAATTGCCAAAGAAGGAGTGAATTCCCTGAGTGTATCTGAACTACAAAGTGCCTGTAGGGCCCGAGGGATGAGGTCACTGGGGCTCACTGAGAAGCAGTTGAGAGAACAGCTCACCCAGGCAAGTAGCCGCTTCCTTGGGCTCTTTTCAGAGGCTCCTCATGGTATAGTTGCAGATGTGGCTGTCCTTACATCATAGGATTGTAACTTTAGAGCTGAAAGGTGACCTCAGGGGCCATCTAGTGTGAACCTCTCATTTTACACATGAGGAAAGTGAGGACCTAGGATGTTAAATGACTTACCCAAGCTCTCACAGACAGTAAGCATCAGAGGTTTTATTTGAACCCAGGTACTACTTGAGAGCTAGTGCTTTTCCCGCTGTATCGTAAGCTTCAATTTTCAAACTAATTACATTTCCTATTATTTCAATTCCCCACTAAGAAGTAGTTGGTTTGTAGTAGGACATCTGGAAAGTCAGGATATCCTCCAGGATATCCAAATTGATTAAAAGAAGAGACAAAAGTCTACAATGTGAGGAAACCCATCTATATGTAGCATATTTACATTTTAAGCTGAAGTCTTTACTGGATCCATTATTCCTGATTAATGAGAATTTTAGTAACTTCAGCAGACCCTCTTAGTCTATAGAATTTGGTGGGGGAGGGAAAAGGGATTGCCAAAGTGAATTTTCTTAAGTGAAGGCCAGAGCATATTACATACTTTTACTCAGTAAATTCCAGTGGCTCCCTATGACTTAGAAGCAAATGTAAACTCTTCTGTTTAGCATTGAAAATTCTTTACAACTTGGCCCCAATCCACTTGTCTAACCTTATTACTATTATCCCTATCATTCATTCTATGATCCAGCCAGCTTGCTCTTCTTTACTTTTCCTCACAAACAGCACTAGTTCTTGTCTCTGTACCTTTACATTGGCCATCCCCCACCAGACCTGTAATGTATTTTCCCCCTTCACCTCTATTACTTAAAATTTCTATGGGATTTCCTTCAAGGCTAGGCTCAAGTACCATCTTCTACGTGAAGCCTTTCTAGATCTCCCCAGTTGCTGGTGCTTTTCCTCTGAAAATCAATTTGTATCTATCTTATCTGTAACTAGATATGTATGTCTCCATGGATAAAATAGAAGCTCCCTGAAAGCTTTTTTTCTTTTGTCTTTGTATCTTTAGCACCTAGCATAAAGCCTGGCATGTGGTAGGCACTTAACAAGTGCTTATTGATTTATTATACTAGCATGGCTTCCTTTCTTTAGGGCCAGCCCTGGCTATAGGATCAAAACGACATATAGAAGGGTACTGATAATGGCACTGGGACATAGAGACAATTGTCATCTTTCAATTTTTAACTCATATCCAGGGCAGATTGCTTTCAGAGTCTGCCTCCCTGAACTTACCCAGCATTAGTAGCTTGTTCCTTTTTTAGGTGATAAGCAGATCTATAGGTACTGATCACATTTTAAAGTATTTATTCAGTGCTTTGAGAGGTTGAAGAAACCTTACGTCATGACCATTTGCAGTCTTGTTCTGACAGTGGCTTTTCTTAGTGAGGGAATTGAGGGGATTGGAGCAGCAAGTGGTGGTGGGAATTGAATGCACCACACTGACTCCATCTTGTGAATCATATCTGGAGCTAGCAAAGTTCTCTTTCTATTCAATTATGCGTCTAATTCCAAATTATTCAATTATGGAAATTGTGAAAGGACTTTGTTGCATTGTTTGAATCTATCCCTATGTGGCTGGAACACTGGACCACCTCTACCTGCTGCTTAGAGACCCTTAACTAAAGACCTAGGTGATGCTTACCAGAAACCCAGTTAGATCCTAAGACTGATGCAAGTTTTCTCACAATTAGGTATCTCAAGCAACCCATATGTCTTATCTGAAAACTGTCCCTGTGCTGATCAATCAGTTATTGTTTCCATTTTTCTTTGATTGTTCACAGACACTTTTGGGGAGTGGGATAGCTCTTTTTTTTTTTTTGATTTCAGGAAATTGTACCTGTTTACTCTCCCCCTCCCAACTTAGAAAGTCCCTAATCTTTTCTCCAATTAGAAATCAGTGCCAATCTGAGGAAGGCTACTGGTCCCTATTTGTGGAGCAGTTGACATGCATTGCTTAGTAAATTGATATGCTCAGAAGCTTGAACCTTTGTTTCCTCAGTTAATTTCATTTTTCACCTGTCACATTAATGACGTCATTTATTCCACTAATTAGAGAGGTAGCCTAATGTGGTAGAAAGAACATAGACTGTGGGATTCAGGTTACTTGGATTCTAACTTTGGTTCTATCATCATTTAACTATCTGTGTGAAGTTATTTAGCCTCTCTTAAGTTTCACTTTCCACACTTGTAAAATGAATGGTTTTGACTAGATCTCTTAAGGTTTTTATGGTTAATTTTGTGATTGCTAAAGAAGGAATGAAGGACCTTAGCATATCAGAAATACAAAGTGCCTATAAGGCCTTAGGGATGAGCAGGTCACTGGGTTCTTTGAACAGCTGAAAGAGAAGGTTATAGAGGGAAGGAAGAGCTTCCTTGGGCCCTTTTCAGAGCTCTTTCTATTGTTTCATTTCTTTCCCATCCTTCAGTGGCAGGACCTCCATCTGAAAGAGAATGTCCCTCCTTCTCTGTTGTTGTTGTCCCGTACCTTCTATCTGGTAGATGTGAAGCCAAAGCCTATTGAGATTCCTCCAAGCATTGAGGTGAGTAATTTGATTTATAGAAGATCTGTGTTTCTGTCATAACCAAGACTTATCCATGGGCATACTTGTCTCTACCTATATCCAGTGCAGTTAGCTCCTATTAAACAAATACCCTTTGGGGTTTGGCCTGTTTTAAATAATCTCTAGCCAAGAGCTTGTCATTACTTTCTTTTCTTCTCGTATTTAAGTTTCTATTAGGATATTTCTTAGTTAAGTTTCTCTTTCACTTAATTTATTTTAGTGCTAATTTCTCTCTGTTAGGCCAGCATGAATAGCTCTGTTCTCACTTGATTCTTATTTCATTTATATATACTTAATAACAGTGGTATTTACTACTGCAGTGGAGATCTAGTGCAGAGTCCAGGTGAAAGAAGGATTTCTTGTGGAGAGTGAGGTCCTCCAGATGCTACTGTTTGTGGATGACATTATGCTGATTAAATTGAGGCCCAGAGCCATTGCAGAGCCTCTTGGCTGTTGTAATCACTCAAAGCAGTTTGGCCAGTTCATCCACATAAGAAAGCCAAGTGGATGAAGAACATTTGTTGCCCAGATTTCAACATGCATTTGGACTGACACCCTTTAGAGCTTTTCCAGCAGTATGTATTATTAAGGAAAGACAATACAGATGGATAAAGAGTTGGACCTAGAACTGGAGGAGGAGAGTGGGCTGTGTTGTTTTCAAGAAATTACAAAGCTCTTTTACTGATGCCAAGATTCCGATGAAAGTTAAGGTCCATCTTTTTAGTATTAACATTTTACCAGTGTTGATATATAGAAAACCACTGCTTCCAAGGAACTAAAAATTAGTATCACACAGTGGACAATGGAGAGGCACATGGTAATATGAGTAGGCTGCAACATAAAAACCAATGAAGAACTTCAAAGAGTAGGAATGAAAGAATTCATTGAGGAATTGTGTGGTGGAGAAGATGGACAGGTCATATGGCAAGAACACAGGATGAAAGTTGTATGATTAGAGTATATCTTAATGTCTAGAGAAAGCAGAGAATGCCTTCTGCATATTAAGTAGACCTGCATGGGGCAAACTTTTGGGAATACATGGGCAAAAGTTGCACATAATGGGCAGGCATGGATGGGTTAGAGTCTGCCTCATTGAAGAGAGTAATTTCATTGAAAAAGTCTGAATTCTTCCTTTTTTTGTGAGGCAATTGGGGTTAAGTGACTTGCCCAGAGTCACACAGCTAGTGAGTGTTATGTGTCTGAGGCCAGATTTGAACTCAGGTCCTCCTGACCCCAGGGCCACTGCTCTATCCACTGTGCCACCTAGCTGTCCCAATTCTTTCAAAATACTTCAGGGATCCTTTTTTCTTCTTTATGTTCTTTTCTTTTTTGGTATCAGGATTACTAGCCTCTCTTTTTCCCAAATCCTTCTCCCTCTCCTCAGAAGACAAAACAAAAGAAAAAACAACTTTTCCTTGTTACAAATAAATATAATCAAGTAAAACAAATTCATATATTGGTCATATCTAAAAATATGTGTCTTTCTGCATCTTGAATCTATCATCTCTTTCAAGAAATTGTTAGCATGCTTCATCATTTATGTTCTAAATTAATTGTTGGTCATTATTACATTGATCAGAGTTCTTTTTTCATTACAATGTTGTAATCACTGTATAGATTATTCTGGTTCTGCTCCCTCTGCATCAGTTCATACAAGTCTTTCCAAGTTTGTCTGAATCCATTCCTTTTGCCATTTCTTGTGGTGTAATAATATCTATTAATTTATATACAATGATTTCTTCAGCCATTCCCCAACAGATGAATATTCTACTTTGTTTCTAGTTCTTTGCTACAACAGAAAGATCTACTGTAAATATATATATATATATAAATATATATTTGCACATAAAAGTCCTTTTCTGCCTTCTTTGATCTCTTTGGGGTACATGTCCAATAGTGGTACCAGTGAGTCAAGGAGTATACATAGTTTAATGACATTTTGGGGATAGTTCCAAATTGCTTTGCAGAATGGCTGGACCAATTCATAGTTCCAACAACAGTGCATTATTATGCCTCTGATAGCTCTGCAACAATTTTCCTTTTTTGTCATCTTTGCTAATCTGATGGGTGTGAGGTGGAATCTTAGAGTTGCTTTAATTTGCATTTATCTTTTAGTGATTTGGAGCATTTTTTCATGTGGTTGTTAGTAGCTTAGAATTCTTCCCTTGAGAACTGCCTGTTCATATCTTTTGACCATTTATCCATTAGGAAATGGTTTTTGATTTTGTATGCTTGAATCACTTTCCTTTGTATTTGGATATCAAATCTTTATCATAAAAACTTACTCTAAAGATTTTTTTCCTAGTTAAACTATTATCCTCTTAATTTGAACAGCATTGATTTTGTTTGTGCGGAAGATTTTCTTTTCTTTTTTTATCTTATTTTTAATATTGGTTCCAAATTCTCTCTCTTCTTCCAATCTCTCTACTACCCATTGAGAAGGCAAGAAATAAAATACCCACTACATATATAAACTCATGTAAAACATATTTCCACATTAGCCATGCTCTGGAAAAATAAAGAGGAAAAAAATATGCTTCAGTCTGGACACTCAGTTCATCAGTTGTCTATCTGGAACTGGATAGCATGTTTCATCATGAGTCCTTTGGAATTGTCGTGGATCATTGTATTGATCAGAATAGCTGTTTCACAGTTGATTATCTTTATGTTATTTTTGTTACGGTGTACAATATTCTTTTGCTTTTGTTCACTTCACCTTATGTTAGTTCATATAAGTCTTCCCAGGTTCCTCTGAAACCTTTCTCTTCATCATCTCTTACAGTGTAATAGCATTCCATTACATTCATATGCCATAATTTATTCAGTCATTCCCCAATTGATGGGCATCCCCTAAGTTTCCAATTCTTTGCAACTACAGAAAGGGCTGCTATAAATATTTTTGTACATATAGGTCCTTTTCCTCTTTTTTTTTTTAAGTCTTATTTGGGATACAGCCCTTGTAGCAGAATTTCTGGGTCAAAGGATATGTACAGTTTTATAGCCCTTTGGGCACAATTCCATATTGTTCTCTAGAATGATTGGATTAGTTCACAGCTGTACCAGTGCATTAGTGTCCCCATTTTTCCATATCCCTTCCAGAATCTATCATTTTCCTTTACTGTTTTCTTAGTCAATCTGATGGGTGGGAGGTGGTACCTCAGAGTTGTTTTAATTTGCATTTCTTTAATATTTGTAGCATTTTTATATGACTATTGATAGTTTTTATTTCTTCCTTTGAAAACTTCCTGTTTGTATCTTTTGACCATTTATCAATTGAGAAATGGCTCTTATTTTTGTAAATTTGGGTCAGTTCTCCATATATTTGAGAAATGAAATATTTTCAGAGAAACTTGCTATAAAATTTCCCCCAATTTCCTGCTTTCTTTCTGATTTTGGCTCTGCTGGTTTTGTTTGTGTAAACCCTTTTTAATTTAATGTAATCATAATTATCCATTTTATCTTCTGTGATCCTCTTTATCTCTTGTTTGGTCATGCATTCTTCTCTTTTTCCATACATCTGACAAGTAATTTTTTTCCATGCTTTCCTAACTTCTTATGATAATCACCTTTTGTGTTTAAATCACGTACCCATTTTGAACTTATCTTGATATATGTTGTGACATGTTGTTCTATGCATAGTTTCTGCCAGACTACTTTCCAGTTTTCCCAGAAGCTCTTGTCCAATTGAGTTCTTGCCCCAATAGCTGGGATCTTTAGGTTTATCAAACACTGGGCTACTGTGTTCATTTGCTTTTGAATATTGTGTGCCTAATCTATTTCATTGATCACCCTCTCTATTTCTTATCCAGTTGTTCAGTCATGTCTGCCTCTTCGTGATCCCATTTGGGGTTTTCTTGGCAAAGATGCTGGAGTGGTTTGCCATTTCCTTTTCCAGTTCATTTGACAGATGAGGAAACTGAGGCGAACAGGGTTAAGTGACTTGCCTAGGGTCACACAGTTAAGTATCTGAGGCTGAATTGGAACTCACAAAGATGAGTCTTTCTGACTACAGGCTTGGCACACCATCCACTGCACCACCTAGCTGCCCTTTTGTTATCTAGTATCAGATTTTTAAAAATATATGTTTTTTTTCTCTAATTACATGCTAAAATAATTTTAACTTTTTTTTAAAGTTTTGAATTCCAAATTCTGTTCCTCCTTCCTTCCTTCCCCCTCCCTGAGAAGGTAAGCAATCAGATATAGGTTAAACATGTGCAGTCTTGTAACATATTTCCGAATTAGTCATTTTGTACAAGAAAATTTGAATTAAAAAAAAAACAACGAAAGAAAGAAAGTGAAAAATAACATGCTTCAGTCAATATTCAAACAATATCTGTTCTTTCTCAGAAAGCAGATGGTATGCTTCATCATTAGTGCTTTGGGATTCTCTTAGATCATTGTATTGCTGAGAATAGCTAAGTCATTTATAGTTCTTCTTCATACAGTGTTGCTGTTACTGTGTACAATGTTCTCCTGGTTCTGTTCACTTCACATTGTATCAGTTCATGTAAGTCTTTCCAGGTTTTTCTGAAATCATCCTACTTGTCATTTCTTATAGCACAATATATTCCATCACAATCATATGCCACAGCTTGTTTATCCATTCCCCAATTGATGGACATCACTTCAATTTCCAATTCTAAGCTACCATAAAAAGAACTGCTATAAATATTTTTGTATAGATAGGTCCTTTTTTGTTTTTTGTGTTTTTGGATGTCTACAGGATATAGACATAGCAGTGGTATTGCTGAATCAAAAGATATACAGAACTTTATAGCCCTTTGGACATAGTTCCAGATTACTTTCCAGATCAGTTCACAGCTCCACCAACAGTGCATTAGTGTCCCAGTTTTCCCACATCCTCTCCAACATCCATAATTTTCCTTTTCTGTCATATTAGCCAATCTGATAGGTGTGAGGTGATACCTCAGAGTTATTTTAATTTGCATTTCTCTAATCAAAAGTGATTTAGAGGGGGCA